TACTATTTTCTAACTAACATCCTCCCTCTCATTTTTGTTTTGTTGTTGTGTTGTGTTCTAATTGAGATGAAAAAGAATAATGCGGAGGAAAAACAGAGAGAGAGAGAGAGATAGAGATAGAGGAAAAAGGGAAAAGGGGAGAAAAAAAATGAAAACTCTTGGGAAAAAACGTGAAAAATAGAGAGGAAAAATTAAAAAAAAAAAAAAAAACTTTTGTTTCATTCGTTTTTTTTTTTTTTTTTTTTTTATTATGAGAGAATCATTATCCGATAAGGGTTGAAAGATAATCGTTAACTACCTTCTATTTCTCTTTTTGAAATTTTCCCCCGCCCAAAACAAAACAAAAAAAAAAAAAAACAAAAAACAAAATGGAGAAAGACAAGAGGGAAAATACTACATATATAAATAAATTAAAACCGCAAAAAAAAAAAAAATTATTTATTTATATATTAAATAATTTATTTATTTATTTTACATAATTCGTGTAGTCGTCGTAAAATTTTTGCGGTCTTTTTTTTTTTTTTTTTTTTTTTTGCTCTAAAATCATCCATCTCCGTTACGCGATAAAGCGGTTATATAAAAAAACCGTTAAAATTTAAAATAATTTCTTTTTGTATCGCGTCGGAAAGAGAGAGAGAGAGAGAGAGAGAAATTCTCCCCTCTCTCCCTCTTTTTCTATCTACCTATCGGTTGTAAATATTTTTAAAATGTTTAAATAAATCCGGTTTGAAATTTTTTGAAAAAATTTTTACCGCGAAATGCCGTGGCAAAAGAATGAAAAAAAAAAAAAAAAAAACATAAAAATTCGTTTTGCCTTTCACGTTACGTGCGTCCGTATATACACTTTGCGAATAAAGCGTGTATAAAACGACCGATGAGGTGTGATTGTTAAATTACGGGTCTTCCCATAAATACCTTGCGCGCGACGCATTCATTTTGCAACGAAAAATTATGGGAAAATTTAAAGCCATTAATTTCGTTGGGATTTTAATGTTTTTATGACGCTTATACTTAGCTTACGAAATCGTCGATTTTTTTCCATTAAAAAAAAACGATATGTTTTTTGATTACGAAAAAAATTTTGCACGGGTAAACGGTAAATGAATGAGAGTCGTAAATGTTCGAAATGGAAAAATTAGGTCAAATTACGTTTCTAACCGCACTCAACCAATAGTAATAGTAGGGAATTAATTTTGTTTTTGTCGCGTGACGAACTCACATCATCATGGTTGCGACGAATTTATTATCTCTTACCTTTTTATTTGTTTTTGACACTTTTCCCGTAACATATATATAGGGAAATTTTTTTTTTTTTTTGTTTTAATTCGAAAAATTTTATTTAAAATCGTTTTATGCATTTCGTTACCGTAAAAAGAATAATACTAATAATAATAATGATAATAATGATACGTCACAAAAGTAGAGTAATGTTTATTAAGAGTAGGAGAAAATTTTTTTTTTTTTTCTTCTTTTTTCTCCTCATTAAAAAACGGAAGGAAGGAAGGATAAGAGAAGAGAATGAAAATGAAAAAAAAAAAAAAACCATTGGAAGAGAAACGAGGGGGAGGTTAAAAGAAAAAAGAGGAAGAAAAAAAGGCAGGGGAAGTAGTGGGGGGGGAGAAGGTAGGGAGCAGTGAAAGCAAAGACGAAACTAAAAGGATGATGATTATTTTGATACGTGACTTGAGATGTGAAAACTAAGGAGCAATACGAAACTTTCAACTCTTTTTTTTTTTTTGTTTCTTTTTTTTTTTTTTTTTTTTTTATTGATGAAAAAATGGGTAAAAGAGAGGAAATAAAAAAGAGAATGAAAAAGGATAAAGAGAAAGGAATGGGAAGGGAAAAAAGAAAAATATATATATAAAAGATGGATGACTAAAACAAAAAAAAAAAAAAAAATTAATCATTTTCGGTTAAGTAAATTTTTTCTTTTTTTAAAATAAAATTTATTTTTAGCAAAAAAAAGGGGGGTGGGAGGGGAGGGGAAGGGGAAGAGAGCAAAAATAAACGATGGCAAAAATATAATTTTTTTTTTTTTTTTTTTTTAAACGCGAGAAAACGAAAATAATCTCGACAATTTCCAAATGACCGAAAACAATTAAATAAGCAATCAACTGTGGATTCCTTTTTTTTTTTTTTTTTTTTTTGTCGACTTTTTTCCCTTTTTTCCGCGCGCGCGCGCGTGTGTGTATTTATACACACATTCAACATGTCGACAATAATCGCCGACGCCCACCTTGTTTGTCCTCAATTTTCTCTTTTTCCCCTTTTCTTTTGTTTTTACTTCTACATCTCTTTTACTCCCATCATCGTCATTCTCTTTTCTTTTCTTTCTTCTTTTGTCCCTTCTTGTACTCTTTGATATCATTTTCCACTTTTGTCATCATTAATTAATAACCGAAAAAATTTTTTATTATCATTATCGTTATTATTATTATTATTATTATTATTATTATTATTATTATTATTACTATTTTTTTCCCCGACGATAAAAGGAATCTGTTAAAAGCTTAAAATGATACTTTTGAAAGTATTTAAGAGGGGGAAGGGGGAAGGGGTACATTTCTGGGGGGTTATAAATTTTTTTCTTACGAGTTTGTTTTAGTTAATTAAAAAGTTTTTTTTTTTTTTTTTTTTTTTTAAACCCCCCTCTCCCTCCCCTTCGAAAAAAAAGAAAAGCAAATAAGGTTTCCCTTTTTCCGGTACGGCAGCCCTAAGCAAAAAAGGGAAATGTTTGCGTGCGAGTTTGCGGATTATTATGACGGTGGAAAAAAAATTGATAATAATAATAATGATGATGATGATAATGATGATAAAATACGTTAGTGATAGATTTAACGTTGAAATCATATTTTAAAATTTTTTTGTTGCGATTCAAATGAATTTTTTTTCCCCATTTGGTTAATCACTCGGAAAAAAAGTCATTTTATTTTTCCTTAACATGTGTCTGACGTCATCAAAATCATCATCAATATTATTATTATTATTTTAATGGTTTTTCACATATATGTATATATATTTTTTTTTTTTCAATGAATTCGAAAAAAAATTGATTTTGTAATAATCTTAAGATTTTTAATTGATGACGCCATCTTTTTTTTTTTCGATTTTAATTTTTTGCATTCGATTCTTCGGTTTTTGTTTTTTTTTTTTTTCATCTCTTTATCCTCTTCCATCTTTCCCCTCCTTCCCTCCTACCCTTCTTTCTCGTTTTTTTTTTTTTTTTTTAAATTTTCACAAAAGGAAAACTCATTTGAATAAAAAAAAAGGAGAAAAAAGAAAAAAAGAGAGGAGAAGAAAACCAGAAGGTTTTTACCAAAAGCTTTTACTTGTCATAATCCGATTTTGTATCTTTTTCTCTTTTTTTCTTTTCCTTCTTCTTTTAGTTTTTTTCCCCCTTTTATTGCCATTCTCACACCTAAATTTACACGCACGCACACGCAAAATCGTATAAATATATATATTTATATAGTTTTTTCATGTGTTTTCCTATTTCTCTCTCTCTATCTCTCTATCTCTCTCTTTCTCTTTTTCTCACTGGAAAAAGGAATCCGACCTCGATTTCCCCCCCACCCCACCCCATCCTCTCTTTACCTTTATCCCCATTATTTATATATCAACGTTACTTATCGTGCGTTTGGATGTTTAAGAAACGAAAAAAAAAAAAAAAAAAAAAAAACATCCCGGAGGCTGTGAGTAAAAACTCAAAAGGATTTTCTTCTTGAGATAGAAAGAGAGAGAGAGAGGGAGAGAAAGAGAGAGAAACTTGTATATATTTTTCTTTTTTTTTCTTTTTTTTTTTACCTTAAAAAATTATTATTTAAAGAATTTCGTTTATTTATTATTTTTTTTTTTGCTTCTCTCTCTCTCTCTCTCTCTCTCGCTTTCTCTCTCCTTTGAATTAATTGTTTAAAAAGGTGGGAAGAAAGAAATAAAACGCGCGCGCGCGCGCAAAAAAAAAAGGTTTTTTATTTTCCTGTTGGCCTAAAGTTTTATTACTCGATGGTGGTGGTGGTGGTGG